GACCCATTGAAGTTGATGTGCCGTAAAAAAAAACAAACCAAACCTGTACTCTCAAATGTTCTTCTGGTCTAGAAGCCGCAAAATATCCCCAGAGCAGAATGCTCCCACCGCCCTGCGTAATTGTAGGGAGGGTATTTTTTGGTTTGTGAGTTTCATTCACTTTCCTCCATACATAATGTGAGTTCATGTGACCAAATAATTCTACTTTGGTTTCATCTGACCATAAAACAGAGTTCCAATTTACTCCCATGTTCTTGATGACTTCTAGCATAAGCCAATTTGCATTTTAGGTGTTTAGCCTTAAGCAAAGAAGGGTGTCCAGTTCGTTGAAAGCATCTAGGGACTGTCTTCATCGATGCATTCTGCTTTGATGTCTTTACAACATTGACAATGGCCTTTGTCGTTAAGTAATGATTCTTCGAGTCAAAGGGACTTTCTCTTACTGAAAGGATTTATAATATAGTCAAAATTTAATAATAAGAAGAAAATTAACCCATTACTGTATAAAGTTATTATCTCAAAATCGTCTTTTCATTGACGTTTAGAATTTAGGCCTAATCTAACTTGAAAAAACCTTTACTATTACCATGGTAATCTTAGATAATTTTGAGCATCAATTTTTAGAAAAATTTTATCAGACCTCTCAACCATTTAGAAAATTTCTTGACTTAAAAATATGCACTAACAAATAAGCTTAGTATTTTTGATACACCTGTGTATTTCGAAATTAATTGAAAACCAAAGAAATTAATTAGTAGGAATTAGTAGAAATTAATTAAACCAAAGAATGTATGAAACCGATGCACAGTGTTACGCCAAAATTTTGGATTGGCCAAAGAAATTAATTGTACATATATATATATGTGTTAACACGCCAAAATTTTGTGTGTGTGTATATATATATGTGTGTGTGTGTGTGTGTGTGTGTGTGTGTGTGTGTATATATATATATATATATATATATATATATATATATATATATATATATATATATATATATATATATATACAATATGCAAACCCAAAATTTACACACACATATATTTGTGTATTTAGGCAGCAATCCTTCTTTCATGCACATTTCATTGAAAACGACAGACAAGGTGCTTTTATTTAGTTTTTTTATATAATTTCTCATGCGATCTAATAATTTTTTCTTTTCGGATGATAAATTATATAAAAACTGTCCGAATGTTCTTTTTATCCGAGCGCTTTCGGCTATACATTTAGCCATTTTCAAGGATTATATTAACTGTTGGTTTGTTTGTTTTTATTAATAAGGCTTCCATTATTTTTAGCCATTTTTTTTTTTTGCATGTAGATGATGCTATTATATTAGTGTTGTCGACAAGTATGTTATGAATAGTGTCTGGTACGTCTCCATGAATATTTAAATGAGATCTAATTGAGCTATTGTCAGAAAGGTGTAGAGAGAGTCTGCGTGTGAAACATTGTAGTGTAGCCTATATAATTATTTACGAATTTTTGATTGATCAGGAATTCCTTAATGGGCATTTAAATTCGTAGATAATATTTGCTTATATATATATATATATATATATATATATATATATATATATATATATATATATATATATATATACTTTGGGAGCGGGGCCCAAAAGGCAATCGTTGTACCTCAACGCACCAACTTATAACAGATGTTCAAAATGTCCTCCGTTTGTTTCTTCAAACGCATGCACCCGTCGGATCATTGACTGGCGGACCCTTTCGAATACTCCCACACGGTTTCGAGTGATTTCGCCGGCCCGCGTGACATATTGATGAAGAGTCTCTGCATTATTAATGTCTGCTGAATAAGTCAATTGTTTTAGGTGGCACCACAGATAAAAATCAAAGTATTGAGGTTGTGGGAACGTGTAGGTCATGAAACTGGTCCTCCTCTACCTTTCCATCTTTCATGGTAGATGTCAGTCAGTACATCGCGTACCATGTAAGTAAAATGTACTGGAGCCCCATCATGCATGAACCACATGCGTCTTCGTGTTAACAGGGATACTTCCTCTAGCAGGTCTGGAAGTGTGTTCAAAATAAAATCCCTGGAGACAGCTCCTGTAAGACGTGCTGGGAGAACAAACCTACCAGTCAGTCACCTAGAATTCCAGCCCACATATTAATCGTAAACTGTCTAGCCTGCATAGTACTGTGGGGATTCCGATCTGTCCACAAATGTTGGTTGTGTAAATTTGTTATTCCATCTCTTCCAAATGTCACCTGATCAGTAAACAAAACTGAAGAGACGAAAAACGGATCGGCAGTTTGTGTAATAAACAATCGGCAAAAGTTCTCCCGTTGTCAGTGATCAGACGGCCAATTACCCGGCGCACGTTGCATATGACCCGGATGCAGGAACAGCTCTTGAAGTAATCTCCATGCGCTACTATGAGATGTACGATACTAGAGCGACTTGATATATGCTGGTACCTTCATCGTCTTCGACAGCCTGTAAAATGTGTTCTCAGTTGTCAAGCGTAAGAACGGATCGCGGTCTTCCTTGATCCATAGCTTCTGGTGCTACGGATCCTGTTTCAGCAATGCGACGATAAACAGCCGCCACGGTTTGATGACTCGGCGGCTTTCGGTCTGTGAACGCAATCTGTGAACGCAGCTTTGCGTCCATTACCATTCCCGCGGCTGTATGTAAAAATCTTATCTGCCTAGTCACGATATGAATATCCTGACATTGTTAAACGGAACACTTCTCAATTAACTCACTACTACACACGTTAAATGCTGAATACAGACTAGCCACAAATGTACACGAATGACAAATGTAAACTAGTCTGGATGGCAACCAGTGTCATCTACCGAAAAATTTCTTTAAACTGAATAACTCAAAAACGAAACATTTGCGGACATATACTTATATGGATTTTTGTTCTTGTTTTGTAAAAGTATCTTTGTGTGGATATTCGTATTTGAGTAGACGCCCTGTTTATTTATTAAGCAGTATAATTATTTACTTTCGTCTATCGGCCTATAAAATGTTTTATGTATAGTTTCTTTTCTATGATCCGTCCTTCTTTTCTTTGTTTCTTGATACTTTGCTTAGCTTTTGGAAGGCATTTTTGCCATTCAAATGCGACTCCGTTATTAACTGTTTCCTGTCTCCTTAAAGCACTTCTGAGATATTTAAATTTTCATACTTGCTTTACTTTTGCATGCTGAGAACATCATGGATATTCGTGTTTGAGTAGACCATCTGTTTATTTAATAAACAGTATATTTATTTATTTTCGTCTATCGGCCTATAACGTTTGATAAATAAACGGAGCGTCTACTCAAATACAGTATCCACTACAAATAACGTTTAAGTAATAAAAATCTGACCGATTAATAAATAAAAATCCATTCCTTTATATATATATATATATATATATATATATATATATATATATATATATATATATATATATATAGAGAGAGAGAGAGAGAGAAAGGGAGGGGGAGAGAGAGATGAAATATTATGATTACTTGCCTTATTTACATTATTCGGACTGTTATCCTCATCTTCATTGCCATATTCAAAACTGGCCTTCTTCAGGTGATTGGAATTTCAAACTGAAACCTTTATTGTTCTAGTTCCACGTGCCATGCCTCTTCCAAATGTCTCAGTCATTTCCCTTTAACTCAACGCTCCAAGCTTGGTTAACCAATGCTGTGGTCTGGTATTGAACTCACAACTCTGTGGGTCTAACCAACGTCTTTGTTCACCTTCGCCAAGTGTCCAGTGACTAGACCCTTTCCTTTGTTTCTTTTCTTTGTTTCTTAATACTTTGCTTAGCTTGTGGAAGGCATTTTTGCCATTCCAATGCGCTTTCGTATTTCACTGTTTCCTGTCTCCTTAAAGCACTTCTCAGATATTTAAATTTTCATATTTGCTTTAATTTTACATGCTGAGAACACCATGCACCGATGATGTGAGCAACGGCGAAATTCTAAAGAAGATAGAAACAAAAAGGACACTTATGCTTAAAAACAAAAAAGGAAGAACACAATTGAAATTTCTAGGACGCATAATGAGGAAAGGAAGCTTGGAAAATTTGATACTCCCAGGACAGATTGATGGCAAGAAGGACAGAACAATCCATAACATACTTGATGGGCTTGAGTAAAATGGATGTCGGAACAGGATTTACGAGAAATAACAGAAAGACGAAACTTATTAAGAGCTATTTACATTATCCGGACTAGTGTCTTAACCGGGTATTGAACACACACTCTTTGGGTCCCGTCAGTATGAGTTCAATACCCGGTTAAGGCAGTGGAGAACTTGCACAGGAGTGGGGGGGATTAACAGGAGATAACTGAAAACTGACATCCATTTAAACATGGTACGTGGAACAAGCACAGTCCAACCCAGTGAGCGAAATAAAGGGTTCAGTTCGACATTCCAACCACCTGAAGAAGGCCGGAGCGTACAACGGCCGAAACGTTGTAATAAATATGGCGACAAAGATGAGGACAATAGTCCGAATAATGTAAATAGTATACATAATACCTCATCTCAGAAATATAGACAGTTATTAAGATCTAAAAAAGGATAGAAAAGTAGGGAGGGCTATGATCCCCATTCTCAGGAAGAGACACAGTGCATAGAAGAATAATTCGTAGTTCTATTTAAATTATTACTATTCTTATTCTTATTATTAGCATGAGTAGTAGTAGTTGTTGTTGTAGTAGTAATAGTTGTAGTTGTTGTTTTATTTCTACTTCTACAAATGTAAATTCGTCACTGAAAACAATAACAAAACATCTTAGAAAAGAAAACATATCGTATAAATAATGATTAAAAAAAAAAACCTTAAAATGAATTGGTTAACAAATTTAAATAAAATACCGTTTTCTTTAATTATTTTTATTTTGTATTTGTATTTTTAATTAGCCGATGTGGGTTTTTTTTTTTTTTTTTCCGCCGAGACATCACCGGTTAACCTTGCTGGTATGAGCCTTGAAACAGTGAAAAGAAGTGAGATAAACTATAGGGAGAAGAAATAATAAAAAGAGAAAGAGAAAGAAGACCGAAATGCCTCACAGAGAGAAATGTACATCACGTTGTTTGTTTCGCCTCGTGTTATTGAGAATGAAAGAAACATCTTCGTCTTCCGACAATCGCGCCCGCCCCACCCAACGCGCTTCTGACACAAAAGTCAGCCAGACTCATAGCCTCAAACGAACAGAACCAAGCGTCGGGGAAAAAGCAGAGACGCGCGCAAAACATCTTTATTCACCGGTATTATATGTTAGTTTCACTATGCTGGGTATATCGCCTCCGTGGCCCAATGGATAAGGCACCGGCCTCCTAAGCCGGGGATTGCGGGTTCGAGTCCCGTCGGAGGTACAATATATTTATTTTGTATCAAGTAACTAAATTATACTCACTTTTCATTAACATGAAGAAACAGCGTAATTTTACTGACTCTGTTTCTTTAATGTCTACTATTCTAAAGTATTTATTATCTTAGAAATAAATTCAATCAACAATTTCGATTTGTGTTCGCATCATGTTTATTATTTATTATTAGTAGTAATCATCAGTAGATGTTAATTAATAATCAGTAGGTGTTAATTTTCTTTTTATATCTATTTTTCAAATAGAAAGTTTATCGAGAGTGAAACAAAAACATATCCCGACAGTTCTTAAATAATAAAGAAAAAGTGGTTTTTATTCAATTTTATTTTATTTTTATTTCTTACTTTTTATTTTTATTTTATTTTTTATATAGAAAGGACTGGTAATTTAAATTAACAAATTATGTCCTTTTTTACGATCAAAAAGGGTTGAAATTGAATGATAGCTTGTTTTCCTTTTTGTTTTTTATTTTATTTTTGTTTTGCAATGGGCGACACATAAGAAATTTCTTAGAATTAAATTAAAATCAGATGATGATAATGATGGTGATGATTGATTGCTGTTCCGAAAATAAAAGTCTTTGAATTATTCTTGCTTCTACTAAAAACATTAGCAGTCTTAATCTTTATGTGATTACTGATTTATTATTAGCGTCCCAGTAAAAAAATTATCGATCAATTCAATTACAATTAAATAATAATAATAATAATAATAATAATAATAATAATAATAAGAGGAGGAGGGGAGGAGGAGGAGGAGTGACAATCTTAGGATTTTCCTTATTATTTACAAAAACAAACCATAAAAATTCCACGGATAGTGCCATTAATCATTTTAAATCATTATCTTCAGCTTTTCCCCTTTGCCCTTACCGTCTTTCCTTTCTTATCCGTTCAAATCTTTGTTACGCGTCTCTGTATTTTGATCTACAAATGTTTCGTTAAACATCGATAAGTTTCATTTGTGAAAAATAAAAATAACAAATACTACACTACAGTGTGTACACTCTGGGTATTTCAAAAAAAAAAAAACCAAAAACATGCGTACTTTCGACACGGAGAAAAAAAAATGAAAACCCGTTACTTTTAAAAATTTCCAAAGTATCAGAAAAAAATTATCGGATTTCATTGAAATTTTCAACATTTATTTTAAATTAATAATGAATCAACTTTGTATTTTTTATTGTTTTCGCTTCATTTTCAAGTTTGCTGGGAGTATTTTTTTTCAGGTCATTTATTCCTCTCCACCCGTCGTTAACAACTCTACAAAGGAATTTTTGATGTTGTTCATTTTTAAATTTTTATAAAGCTAAACTCCCAAAATTAAACAAGATAAATATTTATCGAGCGTGTATATGGACCGAAATCTTAATAATTCAAGAAAATTCAAAAATTATTATTTTTTTTTATTTTTTTTTTTATTATTTTTTTTTTTTTTTTTTGGTTATTTACTACCATAACGTTTTCCAATAGACGGCCTTCAATATCTTATTTCAATGACGTAATTTTTTTAAAAGTTGGAGCAGGGTCGGAAGATAGGAATTGTCTGATATTTTTTAACGTGTTGACAAGTAAATGAGGACAACCCTGCTGGGAAAATTGGATTTTTCGTTATATTTTTTTTTTTTTTTTTTGGTAAAAAAAGTGAGTAATATTTCTGTAAAAATTTAATTAATTAATTAATCCTTAAATTTGCTATTTTTCTTCCAAACAAATGTCTGGAATATAGGATTTGTAATTTGTTTTAGGTTTTTTTGTTTTTTGTTTTTTACTTTTGTGTTGGTATCCATCAAATTCGCTAATCGAATAGGGCGGAAGTGAGTTTGTTTTTTACGTTTTTTTTTTTAAATAAAAAGTTAAAAATATTTAAGGATGTAAAATAATTTGTTTCTTTTGACGGCCTTTATCTTTCAAATAACCACAATTTAACCTAAAAGAAGACATTTAAATTATTTAAAATTCGTTTCCTTGAAGAAACCGAAAGTACACAGATATTTTCTATGTGTCCTCTCTTTTATCATTCTTTTGCTCTATCTATCCATAAAGAATTTTAATGGATTGTAAGTTCATGCCTTGTTATTCCTCCCTGCTGTTTAATCTTTCAATCATCTTGATATCCAGCTAGCCAGTCTCTCTCTCTCTCTCTCGTTCTCTCTCTCTCTCTCTGTCACACACACACACGCGCGCGCGCACACACACACATTTCCATTCCTTTCCCCTCTCTCTACATTCACTTATTTTTTTCTTTCATCTGGTTTTCATATTGTTTTTCTCTTTACTTTCTATTTCTTTCTTATTTCCTACTGTGTCTGCTCTTTATATAAGAATGCATCCCACACGATTCCCACATATCATCCTCTTTGGAGAACTTACCAAACCTACCTCTACCTAGAGCGGCTCTCATTTGATCTACCTTGAGTGGCTAATGAAAATGTTCCTAATTTTCCTAAATGACCTTGCTGATGTCATCAATTCTTAGTTCGGTATCTATGCTGATAACACAACCATTTACTCTTGTCTTAAGTCTGGTCAGTTCGATAAGGTCAAATGGCAACTCATCTCAAAAATGGCCTACAATCTGCTGTTAACTGAGGCAAGGAATGGCTTGTTAATTTTAAGTAAAGTGACGCATTGAGTCTTCTCGTATTAACTTTTCCCGTTGATATGAGATGGAAAGAGTATATTCAATCAATTGCTTTGAATATGTCTGCTATATCTGGTCTGGTGCTCTTGCTGTATATTTAGAGATCCTTGGTAAGATCCTAAGAAGAATTTGCAATATTATCGGTCCTAACCTGGCATCTCGGTTTCTCTTCTTTTTCCCACTGCCGTAATGTAGCTTCTCTGTCTCATTTCTATAAGTACTTTCATGGTTATTGTTCTAATGAACTTTCCTCTGTGGTACATAGACTTTATGATTTGAAGCGAGGTACTAAATTGGTGGCAAGGTTTCATCAATTTACAGTTGAAATGGATAAAATCTAACCGTAAGTTTCTTCTTTCACACTTCTCGCTTGTGGACCTTTCCGGTTTATTGCTTCCCTGTCAACTTCAAAAATGTAAATGCAATGCCTATCGTTATCTTGTTGTTCTTTTATTGTCTTCTCTTCTCGGTAGTATATTTGGTCATATATAGAAATATATATATATAATTCGATCTTTATGGTAATAAAATATGCCCATCTCGTTTCCCCTCTCGCTTGTAACCATCCACTATAATAAAAAATACGTTTTCAGTGCTAAAACTGAGTTAGTTAAATAAAACTTGTATTTTTACATATTTTTTGAGAGAATAAATAAAATACATTTTGTACATATGAAATTTTTATTTCATGGGTGTTACTATCCCTATGAAGATTATGGTATATGGTATTATGATATAAGGTATTATGGTGTATGGTATTATGGTATTATGGTATATGGTATTATGGAATATTCTATTATGGTATTATGGTATATGGTATTATAGTATATGATATTATGGTATATGGTATATGGTATTATGGTATATGGTACTATGCTATATGGTATTAGGGTATATGATATTATGGAATGTTCTATTATGGTATTATGGTAAATGATATTATGGTATATGTTATTATGGTACTATGGTATTATGGTATATAGTATCTGGCATTATGGTATATGGTATATGCTATTATAGTATATGGTATTATGTTATATGGTATTATGGTATATGATATATGGTATTATTGTATATGCTATTATCGTATATGGTATTATGTTATATAGTACCTGGTATTATGGTATCTGGTATTATGGATGTTGGATTGAATGGTGACAGATGTGTTCTTGTGGTAATTGAGTCAATTCTAGGAACGAATGGGTTCGTGAATCAGATTAGATGAAGTATAATCAGTGACAACCATCTTTTATTCACTTCCCCTTTGGCCTTGTGCCACATAAGATGTAATGTTTCGAAATTAATCAGTCAAATAAAGCTTCGACTTAAAAAAATTTTTTCTATATTACAATCCTCATAACTTTTTTTCTGGTATTGTATCAGTTACCATTAAGCGAGTGCCAAAAAATCTCGATTTCCTTCAAAGTTTATTTTAAGTACATAACTAAAGACTTTCTTTGACTCTACGTCTTCTTTCTTAAGCATTTCCCCCCAAACAAGGCACTAATACCCGGGGTATGGAGGGGTTACTGAGTGTGAAAGAATTGTGATTTTTACCAACAGAAGTTTCCCCACTTAATGACGATTGTCTCCCTTGAAAGAAGAACATTCTATCACTTAGATACTATCAATAAGCAGTCTAGCCGTGCCTCTTCATTCAAGCTCAATAAAGCTTTCTTACGTCATAACACCCCGCCCTCGAGTTGTTATTACAAGAATATAATAAAGAGAAAATCGTTAAGGAGAGAGAACAATAAAAGAACAAGAATTTAGAAGACAATAGATAACGATTGACATATCATTTAATTTTTCAAGGTTAAACTTTACTGGAAAGAAGGAAGCCGGAAGAAAATAAACTGTTAGCATAGAACTTACGGTTACATCTAGCCAGGTCCGGTGCGTAGTACCCTCGAACTGGCCCAGGTGGATGGCAAATGTGTTTGGAGGCCCCAGACAATGCTTTGTGACCCTCGTTATCTTACTTTTTTTTTATACTGCAAACCGACGTTCACCAGACAGCACATCAATTTCAAATCCCACCATCCATAAAGCGTAAAGAAAGGGATCGTCCGCTGCTTACAACACCGACCAAAAGTCATAAGTGGCGACCCAGAGACATTAGATAAAGAATTGGTCAGTATA